CGCTCTCATACATTCACACTCAAACTCTCTCTCTCTCTCTCACACACACACACACACACACACACACACACACCTTGGACCGCTAAGGCTTTCTCACATAAAACAACAGAAATGACAACATGGCTTGCAAAGGACCATCGTATGCGACTACTGCACTGCACACTCCATAAAATATAAAGAGACCACACTAGGCAGAAATACTCAGGGGACAGAAACACTGCTCGCTACATCAGTAGTGGAATTATAATTTACAGTAATAAATGAATGTCCCATGGCTCACGGAATATTCGCATTTACAGTAGAATAAATACTTTGCTATTCCTACTCTTCCTGTAATTTACATTCTAACCCTAGACATGCAAAGAAAGCTAGTGTAAAGCGTTCAGATTAAGTGTAGGTCCCGTATGTTATGAAACTTTGTTCAAGACTAGTTGTCATAGTTGTTTTTCCAATTGAATTTGTAATTGTTGTCTCTGTTTATTCATCTGAAATTACTGTGTTTTGAAATGGGCAGAATAAAAGTGCTATTTTCATAGCTAAGGTCACGAGTTGATGGTGATTTTGATGTCAAAACGTCCCTGATAACGGTCCTTCTCGTGGTAATCGATGTTCTGTCCGAATACTTTACACTCGATGCGCATTTCGTGACTCAGAGTGATGTTGTGGAACTTGACGGCCACCAGAGGCTGGAGGTAATGGGGCTGTAGCAGCTTTCCGTAGTAAGGATAATACTGGAGGGGGAAACCAGCCCCCACCCCGAAGTACTCGACCTGTCCGAGATGTTCTGCGTCCTCTCCTCTCTGTTGACAACAAGAATAAGTATTAGATCAATCTCTGGAACACTACAGCACATGGAGTCTTGAGTTTTGTATCACTGTGTATATTTCTTTGTTTAGACTTCACTGGAAAAAAAAGATTAGGGATGCAGTGATATTCAAATTCTAGTATAATTAATAAAGCTAATAATTCTAATGCTACCACTACTAATAATAATAATTAATAATGCATTCCTATAGCTCAAACTAGAACATGGCATGCCAAGATCATGTGTTCGATTCCAAGGAAAAGCTAGAACTGATCAAATGTGAATCTCTCCCTTGAATGCAATATATGTTGCTTTGGATTAAAGCATCTGCCAAATGCATAAATCCAAATCTAGAATTATACTATACCTGATATTTGATACTGTGTTGTCTAAATATTGTCTAAATGTTGTAATATCCTGTATGAAAAAAATAGATATTCATTTTGATATTTGCTCAAGATTACATTAAACCAGGGTTCCTCAATAGGCGGCCCACGGGCCAGAGAAAAAAAGTTTGGCCCGTGCTAATTTCAAATAATGTGCCATTAAAAATTCAAACGCAGCATCAGAAAGCTACATTAACTTACATCGTGTCTACACCGGACGCGCGCGGCGCGACGCAATAAAATACAATAGAACTCGTTATAATCAGTGATGCTGTCTTGGATGCGGCGCAACACGACAAATCCCCGACAATAAACTGCTGACTCGTTTTATTTATAACGTACTGACACAACTTCAAATGATTTGCAATGCTTTGTCGCGTCCAGTGTAGATACGATGTGACAGCAAAACATGGCAAGTGTGTAGAAAAGAAAAGTGGACACGGAAAATAGATGATTCAAATGTGAATGGACTGAACAGTTTTGAGTGAGACACACGGTGTTACAGTTTGATCCCCCAAAAAAATCTGAGCATAAAAATATTAATACTGACAAATCTGATAATTGAATCTGCAATTAGGGAAAGTGGAGAGAAGAGATCCAGTCTGGGAATGAGCAGGAACAGTTGATTTGCATGGCAGACATTGTTTCTAATATTCAACAGGCAAAGTTCTTCTGTATCTAAATGCAAAAATGTTCATAATTGTTTGAATAAAACAGACTACTGGGGAAAAAATCTGAATATTCATCTTGTGACCATCTTGTGATTATTTTAACAAAAGCAACAATAATATAATAATTGTAATAATAATAACAATTAAATATATATATATATATATAGGTCAGTGGCCCTTGGCTTGGTATTGTTGGCAGAATTTGGCCCTCGGCGAAAACTAATTGAGGAACCCTGCATTAAACTATGTTATTAAATGTTAAATGATGGTAATCTAAATGTAAAAACTAATACAATATAGCTCTACACAAGAATGCCATTTTACCAAGATGCTTTGTAAGTATTTCTTGCCTTGTTTGTGCAGTGGATTGGAATCAGATTGCCCTGAACGTTAGGGCGGATTGGCTCAGGGATGCTCTCATTTGAAGCTGGAGGCTGCGGAGAGAGAATGGCAGTGTATTATAATCCCAATATTAAGGTAAATGTTGCCTCGGGCTAACAAAAATTGTTCGCATGCACCTGGTGTATATGGCAAACAAGTAGGTTAATATTGATGGCTGATAACTCACCCGTGGCCTGAAGTTCACAATCCTATTCAGTTTAACGATGAGGCAGGGTTTGCCTTCTTTAAAGCCGAATTTGTCATCTTTCTTTCCTGAGCAATCCTTCAGCCACTCTCTATCGAAGCGGCAGGCCTTCCTCACACCTTCATCGCTCTCCAGATCTCCACGCTCCATATAGGTTTGGGGTTTCACTGAACATGAAACGCATTAAACCTTATTTACTGACTAATACAACTGTATTTGCTTGTCATTAAAATAACAGTGCAGCGGCATGCAGGACAGCAAAATGGGTCAAATAAAGCCCTAATTGTCTACCTAAGCAGTGGCTAAAACATGAACTGTTGACTTGTGAATGAAGATCATATGACACAGAGTTGAGTGATGTAGGATTTCACTTCCTGAACTGTACCCTTTTTAGCTGGCCTACTTAATAATACAGCTAAAAGCTTGGGTTTATTGAGACACATATAGATTAAAGATCATCTTAGAACTTGTACCTCCACAATCTTCAAATTTGCGGTCATCGTTCTGGTTTTCCCTGTCGTATGTTTTCAAAAACTCCTTAATATGATCCACATATGCATTGTAAGTCTTATTATCGCTCATGGAGAAGATGATTTCTGCTTTGTCCGGGCGTGGGGAGTGTGATAAGCCTGTAAGTAAAGCAGAAAGGTTAAATGTGGCCCAACAACTGGTGTTAACCATAAAAACGAACATTTAGAAGAGTGATTTTCCCTCCAGCTACGAGAGCGGAGAATGCCTGGTCCATTCATTGTCATGGAAGTTTGCTATTCAGATTCCCAGCTTGGCAGTAATTTTCCACCGGCTCCAACGCATGGCCAAAGCAGGGCGTGGCGTGAACAGACCCAGCAGAGGAGAACAAGCAAACGCAAACTTTATATTGTGTTTAATGCCAGTTTTGATTTCAACAGACTGGTAATGACCTTCCGTGCATGTGCTGCAGCTGGTCCAAAAGAGGAGCTTCTGGCTTGTTGCACATGGGAAATGTACGTGGACATTGTTTAATACACTTTTAAGACTCTGGTTTGAGCCTGTGAGAGTCTCCCAGCCTTCCCCCTCCTCCTCTCCACAACCTCACGTGCTTCTGTCACACAATGGAAACTTTTAGCCCCTGAGAGGCTTTTTTCTATGTCCGGCCTCCTTTGCAGCAAATAGCTGCACACCATGGTGATCTCCACTTCATTCCTACTCGTGTTGTTTCTTTTTAGACTTCAAGGGCCGCCTCTCTTAAAGGGGAAATGGTTCTTCTTGGCAGAGGCGTTTATGTTCCGGGCCTTAACGAAGACAGATAAATGTAATGCCAAGGCGGGAGTGTGCACTATGCAAACATTCACTGGCATGGCTGGTGTGGCGAATGGTTGGCAGTGGAGTAACAAGCAACCTAACAGGGGTTATGGAAACTGCAGTGTACAATGCTCTCCACTGTTCCTTTTTTTCCCGTTTTTAATTGCAAAACATTCTTGTTTGTGCAAAACAAGCTTAGCCATAAACTCTGATCCTGTTGTAAACTACTTCAAAGGTATGTTTGAGTTCTGATACCACCAACCCTGACTGAAATACTACAAGACATACCAGTTCAAAGACATGCGAAGTGTGTAGATGCGGAACAACTATGCTTTAAGTACCCAAACGGGAAGCCTCGCCAGACTAGCCGGGAGTGTGAAGGTCAAAATGGCTTTCTGTGTGTGTCTCTCTCCTTCTCCTCCCTCACACTCCTCTGCCACCTCCACCCTCGCTCTCTCTCTCTGAGGTCAGACAGACCTTTAGAGCTGCCGAAATGTCACAGGGTTTGCAGAAACAAAATTGACTTCCAGCGTTATGGAACAGTTCGAGCGTGTGTATACGAGAATGTCCCCAAAACAGGTTGTTCTTTCCATTTTTCCATATCGTTGCCAAAGAATAACATGTAATGTTCCTGCTGCTTCAATTACTTGCAAAAGCAAGTAAGGCAAGGCCTCTTGTGAATCTTGTCAACCAGTAACAAACAAATCTCAGAGTTTCAAGTGCACTTTAAAAGAAGGTTTACCACATAACTGTAATGCAGAACAAGACATAAAAACATCGTTCATATTGTGTAATGAGATGGCTTCCATGTTAGTCAAAATCATTAGCTACACAACAACATTCTCACAACACTGTCACATATCGTACTTCTCAAAAATCCTGCCAGTCAAAACAACTTTTAAAGTACATGTAGTTCATTCTGTATCTCTTCGGTTTGGTGATTCATTCTCACAGCGTTTATGTACAAATAGTACCCAACCTCTGAACACTTTTGGGCATGTATTATCTTTGACATCAATGAATTTGGTTCATTACCTGGGGGTGCAACCCTGTCCTGGTATGTGGGCTTGAAGTTGCTGAGAGTCATGAGCATGGCCTGGATGGTGCCAATAAAAATTCCAGCCAAGCAGCCATAGAAGATTACGTAGAAGATGAAGATTTTGACTGCAAAGAAAAATATATAGCATGAAACAATGGGATGTTTCAGATCATATACAAGAAAATGAGTCATGCCATTGAGTTTCCACAAACAGTGCTTACTGCTTATGTAAAGGTGCTTAAATGTATCCACATTCAGTCTGTACATTCAGTATGTACAAAAATTTTGAATTTCAAGTATGCATGAATAAAATTTCCCTCTATTTTCAAAATGCATGTTATTGATCTTATTATGAACAATTAATCCATGCAAGTTTTATTATATTTATACCTAGTAATTTTTATCAAAATGTCATAACTCGATCTTCCAACGAAATGACGAACTTCTCTAATTAATTGGTGCGGTTAAACTCCACCTCTTCTTTTTTTTTACAATCATCTGCAAGTTTGCTTTCATATCTGCTTCCATCCAAACAGCAATTAATGGATAAAACCAATTCCCAACCCAACACTTTTTTCTTATTCGATAATACATAACATTTCACTCAGATGCACATTTAGAAGAAAAGATCTCTCGCTACTTTAGTTTCACCGTGACTTTAAAATGACAGAGCACCACAGACTAAACAGTGTCTAAACTACTAAGAATAAAGAGTAGCTAGTCAGCTGTCTTATGAGACACTCATGTAACTCATGAAAATCAAAATTAAAATGATATTATTATATAAATGAATTCACAATTCTCTTTTTCAGATCATTTATCTGATACACACTGATTGAGTCTTTAATTCAGTCTTATTGATCATATTTTTTTTCCCAAACCATATACAACATGCATCTTAGGCCCCGTCCACACGGAGACGCACGCGTTTAGATGTATACGCATACATTTTGTATCGTATAGGCGTTTCGTCCACACGGATCCGGCGTTTTGGGAGCGTGAAACCGATATTTTTTTAAACCGGGTCCCAGAGTGGATAAATCTGAAAACGCCGCCCTTGCGTTTTCGTGTGGACAGCGAATCCATATATTTTCTGAAACGATGACGTCATCAGCCCACGCCTCACCCCTAGTCAGACACCACTACGTCACGTAACAGCAACAAAAACATGCCTTCTTATTAACTAACATTAACGCAGTTTAATAAATGTATTGTTCCATGTTCGTTTGTATACCGCGCGTAAGGTTTATGCACATACTCCAAGTCTTCTTCTCAATTTTTAGTGTATCTCTGTGGCAGAATTACAGCGCCACATGCTGGTCTGGCATGTATACTACATCGTTTTGTGTTGGTTTTGTGTGGACGCAGATATTTTGTAATATCTGATAGGGAATGCTCTGGCTTCGTGTGGACGTAGCCTTAGGCCCTCTTAATTTTCCAAGATGAGAAAGCCTTTTGAGCCCAGCCATTTCATGCAAAGTTGCTAGTAATTGTGAAACAACCCAAACTTTCCTGACTGAATTAACAGCGACAACAGCTTCAGTCACTCACACATTACTCATAACACTAGCTCCCAGAACTCACATGTCCCTGTGTGACGCAACAACAGAATGCGACCCGCAGAATAACATTCCTGTCTGTCAGCTACTGTGCCAGTCTGTGGGCTTCATTGAAAGCGGCCCCCAACAACCACATCAAACTAGTTCCCACCAAACACAAGGGTCAGTTTGTGCGTGTGTGGATGACGGGGTTATCCTTCCTTTCCTTCTGCCCTGGCAATAAAACCTTTGCCGCCTCTTAAATCTACAGGAAACACATTCAAGTTTGAATACAGTCCCACAAACAATGGTTTCACGTGTTGCAGTCTCAGTGTGGGCAGAGAAAGAAGCTTATCCCTGAGTGTATAAATAATAAGAGGTGTGTTTTAAACTCCTATGACGCTTTAAAAGCTTATTAAACCCACATTCAGAAAGATAGCGATTAAGGATGCTAACAGTAAACGTTAACAATACAACAGCTATTAACTATGCCCTTCAGTCTCTCTTAGTTCTCATTGGTTTCACTAAAATAAGTAAATAGTGTAAAGCAATACATGTTCGTGAGTCATGCAGTTTTCATTCAAAGTATTTGGGGGCAGCACCTTGACATAATAAAACGTTCCATAAATAACTATGGAAACAGGATGTTAAATAGATACAACATAGTCAAAAGCTCCTCTGTAAATGAATAATAAGAGTTTTAATGAACTCATACGCGTCAGTGAAAACGCTTCCTCTATTGCTAGCCTCCACTTACTTTCTCAACTCGTATGATTTGTTTGGATTGCGTTTGCAAAAAAATTTAAACCACACAAACTATAATACTCTACCTATATTTTAAGTCTTTGATTTTAAAAGCACTTTACGAAACTTGCCGCAGTCATTTCTGTTCATTTTAAAGTGAAACTTCAAACACACAGAGAGAGCCTAAATTAGCTGGCTAAGCTACATGTGACTGGCTCCCTCATGTCATTCAACCCAAACCTCAACCAAGATATTTCCCTTCGTTTCACTGCGTAACTACGCGTTTTAAACAACTTGTTGAGTCTTAATAAATATTAAATCATTTTATTATAACTTGTGGTTACTGGATAGTACTAGTACTTTTTTAACAACCGGCATTTGCAAGTGAAGTAATCAGCAGGGCAGCGATAAACACAAATGTTAAAAACTGATAAAACTATCAGCTTCAGACGGTTTCCCGCTTTAAAAACATACATTCAACTGAGACAATCATGTAATGTATATTTACAAAGCAAGCAGGAGAAGAGGAATCAGTATATCTGTATAACCAATTATTACTTTTACATGATCACTAACTGTAGGCCATAAACTGCACAGACCAAATTACTTTGAGTCACCTTGAGGACAGAAAATACGTATTTAGTCACCTGCACAAACATGTTCATGTCATTTGTTTGTGACTGACACTTGCAGCTTTTATGTAATTTGACACTTCACTGTAAAAAATATTGTTTCCATCCATCTCACAATAATTATACTTAATTATAATTCATTATAATAATTGTATCTGTTGGTGTTTGTACTCGATGTTCTTTAGTGATTGACAGACGTAAAATGATCCGATCACTGGATGTTGTAACCTTTAAACCATTTTGATTCCAACTAAGCAGCCATTAAACTTAAATTTTTGAAAATATTATCAAATTGTCCTTCAACTACTGCTATAGTCTACTGACCATTTCAGATGAGTGACGGTCTCTTTCCTAAACAAAAATAACATCCGTATGACAACCTTCAGAATGACCTTTTCGTTTTAAAACACCTCCAGCACGGAACCAAACTTTAACATTTAATTGAACAATCGATCAAATATAAAAACAGTTTGTGTAAAGCACTGTTTTCATCTTTTTCCATTCAGTTGCCATTTTCACCACCTTGTGGTTCATTACGCGTATTATTCGCTGATCAGTTCGTCTATTACATGACTATAACTAGTTTCTATCGGCACACTCTATGCACTAGAACACTAGAACATCCGTTTGCTTACTTTTTTACGAGAATATTTTTCTTTTAATATGATAATCTGATTATAATAGCAAGCCGCCACCGCGAGGCGTTTTTTCCCTTCGAAAACGAAAGTCACGACTCGGTCAGATCAAACAGGTGTTGAGCTTTTTCCAAAGCCAGGACACACGCTGTAGCCGTTTCTTTTGTCTTTAACGTTGAGATGTATCAATATTAACATCGAATAAAGGAGAAAAACTAGTTTAATCCAAGAGAAGAAGCGCTGATGAAACAATCGTGAGAACACTTACACCAACTGCCGCCTGTGCGTCCTAAAAATTCCTTCTTTTCAGAATTCCAGATAAAGGTCTTCCATCCACCATCACCATCTTTATTTGCAGACATTTTCGGTATTTAGTTCCCTTTTTGGTGGTGTTTGAGCGGGCCTTATGGACTTCACAGCGATGTTGCCCCCTTTCTAAATGTTGTAAAAAAAGGACAAAGTCGTACCCGGTACCTTTGCTTGTACTCACTCAATATATAGTCCGGGCTTGACTCCGCCCATCGGCTCTTTTAATAAGTTACCTTCAAAAGAAGGAGGGCAGATTCGGACCAATCACAGACCGACTTGTTTTTGCGTAACAACTCGTAAACGGGGGTGGAATTCATGCTTGCATGAGCAGTTCATTGCTGTTTCTTTCAAACTCTGAACTGTGTTCTTTACCTCAAAATGACAGATTATCTTGTCTTAATACCATAAAATAATGTAATATGTAAATCCACCTGTATATCTGACTGCTTGAACGACAATAAAGTACAAAGGTGCTACCATGATTTTTTTCCACATGTAGGCCTATCCTACTGTTAGGTTTTTTGAACATGTACCACAGTAGTACCATGTTATTCTTGGAAGTGCCTTACCATTTAAGGTTTACCAATAAGGATTACCATATAAACACCATGATATATGAATTTTATATCAAAATACTATGGTACTGCTATCTGAAACCATCACTGCACCATGGTACTGCCAATTTAAAGTACTTTTTGTAAGGAGATAAGTTGTTGTTGTAAGAAGTTAATCAGAAAACAGTTTAAGTGATCAAAATACTTTTATAAAATAATGTAGCATTCATGAAAGTACAGATGGCGCTATGATACAAAGCACATTTTCTTCACTTTGGAGGTTTTCATTCAGTGATAAAGATTATATGTGTATGGACATAAATGTGTGTGTGTGTTGTTAAGGGGAGGAAACATTTTCTCGATGACCTGTGGAAGATTCAAGTTCAAGTATGTGATCTGTGCTCCATTCAAGGTCATTTGTGGGAGGCAACAGAAGCAGAGAGGTGAACCCACCTACACCAAGCCTGTACACATTCACTGAGCCCAGGGTGCGAACTACGGGGGAGCTAGGGGGAGCTCGGCTCCCCTTAATAAGACATGGGCTCCCCTGAAAATGGGATTTGTGAAATTTTGGGGGGTCTCAAAAAATATTGACAATGTGTTATTTTGACGTGCAATTTCAGTTTTGTGTAATGTGATCATCGTGGATTATTATGTGTAAAATTGCAAAAATATCATTCATTCATGCATGACGGCGATTTAAACCTAATTCACTTCAATAAAGATAACTGTGCAAGCTATTCTTGTCATGAGCATCAATGTGTGGGGGCGCTGCGGTGCAAATTACACTCATGTTTAGTACATGTTAACTCAAAGATCCGTAGAAAAAATATAAACGCTGGACTCTGTGGTCGATTCTGTGTTAAAGTAAGGCATGTTATTCGCAATTATGTGTTGTGGCTGGGTTGTTATAGGTCTGCCTGACTCTCTATGTCTTAGGCCTAATTGAACGGAGGAATTATGGTATTCTTCTGTAGCCTGACGACGAGTAACCGTTGTTCATATGAACTCAAAGACAGCCTGATGCTTTGTTTATAGACTATTTGGGGGTGGTTGTTTGTTGTTGCACCTATCAATTCGTGTCGATAAAGTATAATAGGGTAAATCCTGTATAGTGATTTATCCTATATAGTGCTTGCATAAAGCAAGTAGTGCATACACTTGTAGCTGTTATGTATCTTTGTAAGTCATTGTAAGCTCTCTTTTGAGGCACGCGCAAGCGCACGAACCCCCCCCCACACCAGGTTATAAAAAAAATAAACAAGTGGGCTCCCCCAAAGTCCACCGTATAGTTCGAACACTGACTGAGCCATAGAGTTTCAGTCTCTCAATAGGGTATTTCAGAATATATGTCATTTCACTCGCTTTTCATAAATCATAGACAAGCTCCAACAAGTGTCAATCCTTGCAGGTATTAAATCCTACACACTGGGATTACTGGTTCTCTCTGTGGGTTTGGGGGTTTGTTTGACCCCAAAACCTCCATACATTACAATTACATTAAATTAATCAGGTAAATATGAATGTGTAAGTAATACAAAAATGTGATGTTTAAGCAGTGTATGCTTAAATTGCAGCAAATAGGTGCATGTATTGTTGTTATGGGTGTGGAGCTTCAAACATGTGCACACAGGTGCTTCAACTGGGCCTCCTGTAATCCATATAATTCCTTTCACTGCCATAAATTTCATTATGGCTTTTGAAGCATAGCCCAAAGGACTTTCATTGAGAAAAGAATAAATGCGTCGTCTCTGAACTTCTATTATAACGGTAAAAGTTGTGAATAAGCTAAAATAATTGATAGGTTAATATAACATCCTTATTCCCATACATTTCCATTTGTAATTTTAAAAGAGTTGTTGGCCAAAAATGTAGGTTTTTGTCCATGTAACGATAGTCAGTGGGGTCCAAGGTTATTATAGATAACTAAGTATATAAGATAACTAACTAAAACTGAAACTAAATTTAAAACCACAATCAATCAATTAATAAATATGCATTAACTGAAATAAATATATATATATTTTAGCTATAATGAAGTCTATATATATATATATTACTATGCTATAAAGAAAAACACACAACAAAATTAGTAAAAAACCTTAACTAAAATTAAAACTAAAATGTAAAAAAAATTGATAAAAAATAAAAACTATAATAATAACAAGTATAATAGTACCTCAGTTATACTAAAATAACACTGGTGGGGTCCAAAACAACATTGAACCCCACTGACTTTCATTGCATGGACAAAAAGATCCAGTTTGTGTGTATGTGTGTGTGTTCTACAGAAAAATGAAATGCAAAACGGTTTGGAATGACGTAAGTAAATGATGCAAAAATGTACTTGAGAAGATCATTTACCTGACATAAACATCAACAGATTTCTGCTGATGCTTCCTGGCTAGTATAATTTATATATATAAATATATATATTTAAAGTAAATGTATATATATAAATAGTATATTTACATAGATCCGGCTATTGGCAAGTCCGGGAGGTGCTGCATTCCAGTATAGGTTGCTGATTGAATGTGGCATGTGCGTGAACTGCCAGACCCCAGTTCATCAACAATGTCATACCTGTGCAACGGCACGGAAAGATGGCATGCTTCTTGAACAGAAAGAAGACATGCTCGTCTGTTCCCCGTCCTTTTGACACTAAGTAAACTCTGCCATTACTTTCAACTTCAAAACAATTCTTTACAAGCTGACAAGCTGAGGTGTAGATAGTGTGTTGAGCCCTTTGATGCCTATTCTTAGTCGTAGTTTTTTCAGTGCCCTTTTTCTCACAGCCAGTGCATCATCGAGCACCAGGAGTGTTTTCATGATTTGTGCAGAACACAGTTGTGATCCAATTAAATATATCTAGCCTGATAGTCTCAAAGGCTGCCTGGAGCTATTGACGTTTTGAAAAGCATGACGTTTGTGGCCTCTTTTGTGTTTAGCTTAGTAATGACACTGGTTCACATTGCCAGTAGAGAGTATATGGATGGTGATAAGGGTTTTTCCCCTGGCCTCTAATGTGCCTGGGATGGATCTCTCTCAACCTCAGATGACAGCGGTGCGCACTGCAGTGACAGCAGTGTCAAAATTCAATCGTGTAGATGTAAGAGTTACAGTAAATGACAAAATGGAGGGTGACCGAGCTTTGTGATGTTGTTATTTGGGCTTATAGTGCATCATTAGTAATTAGCTGTCATGAGCTCAACAGTTATAGAATGAGAGAATTAAGACTCAGAAAAAATTTCTAAATTTGGCATACTTTTTAAATATACTTTGAAAGATTCCTTATAGGTAAAACATTGCATTATGGTTGTGTTTTGGTGGAGCAGTAGATGTGTCATACCACCTCTGTGTCATATTTACATAGAGCATTTGCTCTGGAATGCTACTCCAGGCTGGAAAAGGAAACATTTTGTATATTCTAAAGACTAAGAATAATAAAATGACCACATTTATCCTCTCAGAGTAGCACATCTAGAGTGTTTAAATCACTAGTTGCTCCACTGATGATTTGTGTAAGTGAACTGAAACCGGCTTTGTCTAGTGTAAAACAGTGAGGGGAATATTGTATCTTATTATTATTTTCTGTACACATGATAAACAATCAAGCTGGTTATAACCTCTGAACTTTATTTTTTATTCACATTTATTTATATTGATTAAAAAAATCTTAAAATGTATTGTGCACATTAAAAATGCACTTATTTGGTAAAGCAATCATATTCACAAAGTGAGAATAGCTATAGCACAAAACTTTTTATCATTGCCCTTGTGGAAAACATGATACTTTTTTTCAGGCTTCTTTGATGAAGAGACAGAACAGCCTCTTTATGTCTTTATTGTAACTTTTGATCAATTGAATTAATCCTTGCTGAGAAAAGTATAAATTTATTTTCAAAAAATCTTATTGACCCCAGATATTTGAATTGAATTTACTTATAGGGCTTGATGTATTTGTGTAGTTTACCATGTCTTAAAGCACTGGCTTGTCTAATGAAGTCATTTATTTATTTATTCAGAACTTTCTCATTTATTCTGGGCTGCTTTGTTTACTGCTGCGTGTTTCATCTGCAGCCACATTAGGACACAGTATGAGTGCAGCCCTGTAGTCAGGATGGCCTTTATAATGAGTCATATAGGGAGAAGTAATGTGCACGTACCAGTCTCTCTGTATACTGAAGTCCTCTAAAAACAAATCATGTCTAATTGCTTTATGCATGAGTTGCACCAAAGTTGATACTGCACAAACTGGGTCCAGAGGCTTCCATTTGAAAGTCTGGGATTCAAAATGGAAATAAATATAATGTTTTGGGATTTGGAAAAGAACAACAAACCCTTATGGGTTAAAATTAAACAATTCATGTTAATTTGTTAATTTAATATGGAAGCTTGTTTTCAACACAGGAGATATATAACCGTAACTGTGATTTTTTTTTCTTTTTCTCACAATTATGTTTATATCTCACAATGTTGTCTGATTTATGACAAAGAAAGTCACAATTAAAGTCACAATTTTTTCCATGGTAAAAAAAAGCAGAAGTGCGAAATGTAAACTCATTTACTCATTTAAAAAAAAAAAAAAAGGGAAAACATTTAGAATTATAAGATATGAACT